AGTATCACCTCCTTGGACCTGCTTGAGATGCATCTGTGGATGCATGACAAGGTGTGGTTGGCCTTCCTGACTGCATCCCCACACTGCCGGCTCATGTTCATCTTGGCATCAATGATGACTCCAAGATCCTTTTCTGCCTCTGTACTGACGAGAAGGGAGTTCCCCAGCCTGTAGGTATGGTGCTGGTTGTTCCTCCCCAGGTGCATCACTTTGCACTTGTCGGTGTTGAATCCCATTCTATTCTTATCCGCCCACCCCTGTAACCTGTCTAGGTCCGATTGCAGCGATTTGCCGAGATGCATCTCTTCTTAGTTGACTGATTTCAGGGAAGTGCTTTTTTATAGATTCACAAGGAATTGGAAGGTAGGCTTATTGAAAGCCTCTGGGTAAAGGTCACAAGGGAGAACAGCAGCGGGGATTATGGTGGGCAACAGGCCTCCAAACTAAGAGAAGGTGGTGGATGAGGCCTTCTTGAAACAAGTGATGGAAGCTTCCAAATCATAGGACTTGAACCTCATGGGGGGACTTTAATTATTGCGACATCTGCTGGGAGGGAAACACAAGCAGTCCATCAAATTCCTGGAGTACTCCCCAAGTGTTGGGGATAACTTTTTGATACAGATGATAAAGAGGCCAGTATGCAGGGGGAGGGAGAAATCCTCTCTCTTCTTGATTTACTGGTTATAAACAGGGAGGAATTGTTTGAGAATATGAAGGTGGAAGATACCTTAGGTGACAATGACTACGGAATAATAGAATTTAAGTTCCTAAGGGGAAGAAGGAAGGAGAGCACCAGAAGAAGGACACTGGACTTCAGAAAAGCAAACTTTAACAAACTCAGGGACCTGGTGGGCAGGATCCCTGGGAGGCAAGTCTGATGGGAGGAGGAATCCAGGAAAGCTGGTTGTACTTTAAGTAGGCCCGTTTAAGTGTGCAGGAACAAGCTATTCTGATGAGGTAGAAGAGTGGCAAGTGCAATAGGAAATCAGCCTGACAAGACAGCAGTCTCTTCAAGGAGGTGAAACTCAAAACAGATCCTATAAAACGTGAAACTTGGTCATGGTACTAGGTAAAAGTTTAAGAGCACTGGATTGTCATGCAGGGAGAAAATTAGGAAAGCCAAGACACTTTGGGATGCAGTTAGCAAGGGACATAAAGTAGTAAAATGGGATTCTGTAGGTATGTCAGAAGTAAGAGGAAGACAAGAAATTCTGTAGGTCTCTCTAGGGAATGTGGAAGGCAGTCTAGTCACAGAAGATGCAGAGAAGGCTGAAGTATTTAATGCCTTTTTATGTCCATTTTCACAAATAGGGGCAGCTATCAGTAGGTGATTGCGGTTGACAGTAGAGATAAGGAAGGAGACAAACAGCCTAGAGTAGTGGAACTGCAGGTTAGGAATTACTTGAAAGCTAGATACTTTAAAGTCAGCAGGGCCAGACAGGATGTACCCAAGGATTCTGAAGGAGCTGTCTCAGGTAATTTTGAAGCCATTGGCTCTCCTTTTTGAGAACTTGTGGAGGTCATGTGAGGGAGGTCCCAGATGACTGGAAAGGGGCAGATATAGTGCCCATCTTTAAGAAGGGAAAGAAGGTGGATCTGGGGAGCTACAGACTAGTCAGCCTGACATTTATGCATGGAAAGATCATGGAGCAGGTCCTCAAAGAATACATTGTGAAGGAGCTAAAGGAAAACAAGATGATCAGGAACAGTCAGCATGGATTCACCAAGAGCAAGTCATGCCTGACCAATCTGATTCCTTCTGTGATAGTCACAAGCTCTGTGGGTGAAGGGAGAGCAGTGAACATGGTATACCTTGACTTTTGCAAGGCTTTTGACACTGTCTCCCACAATATCCTCATTAACAAGTTAAAGAAATACAGATTAGATGAAAGTACTGTAAGGTGGATATGTAACTGGTTGGATCATCTCACTCAGCGAGTGTCTGCAGTGGCTCAATATCTAGTTGAGAGGGGATACCAAGTGGGGTTCCCCAGGGCTCTGTCCTGGATCCAGTATTGTTCAATATCTTCAATAATGGATTTGGATCATGGGATTAGGTGCATGCTCACAACTTAGCAGATGTCCCTAAGTTAGGTGGAATTGTGGGCCCTCTGGAGGGCAAGGCTAGGATCCAGAATGATTTGGATAGACTGGAGAAATGGTCGGTGATCAACCAGAAGAAAGTCAGTAAAGGCAAGTGCAAAGTTCTACACTTCAGACAGAATAACTGCATGCACAAATATAGACTTGGGAGTGACTGACTAGGCTGCATTACAGCAGAGAAGGACCTGGGGGTTACAGTCGACCATAAGTGGAATATGAACCAATAGTATGCTCTTTTTTGGGGGAAAAGAAAGTCAGCAGCATTCTTGACTGTGTTAACGGATATGTCGCTTGCAAATCAAGGGAAGTAATTTTTTGCTGTATTCAGCACTGGTGAGGCCTCCCTTGGAGTGTTGTGTCCTGTTTTAGGCCCCACACTTCAAGAAAGATGTAGACAATTTGGAATGAGTCCAGCAGAGAACAACAAAAAATAGGGACCTGGGAGGTGGGACTTGCGAGGAAAGACTGAAAGAACTATGGTTATTTACCCTGAAGAGGTCTGAACAGCGATTTGATAAGCGTTCAAGTATATGAAGGGTGATTTACAGGGAGGATAGAGATGGGCTTTTCTCTGCGGCTGTAGGGAACAGACCTAGGAGGAATGGCCTCAAGCTTCAGTAGGCTGGAGATGAAGAGGAACTTCCTGTCTGTGAGTGGTCAGGCATTGGAACAGGCTACCAAGAGAAGTTGTGGATTCTTCAGGCTTGGAAACTTTCAAGAGTTAGGAACTTGGCTGGGATGATTTAGTCAGTGATGATCCTGCCTCAAACAGGGGACTGGACTAGAACCTTATGAGGTCGCTTCCAGCCCTATTGTCCTGTGGTCCTGTGAAACGAACTTGGTTCATTCTTTCATAAGTCAAAGCTTAACTTTATCTGGGCAAGATTTCAGTGAATGTTCAAATGAGATAATGCTGTTAAGTTAATGTTAAATCATTTAATGTCTCTTTCCTTTTAGATCTGATTCCTCGTTTTATTTCTGAGCCCCTGTCCACTGTTCAGAAGCCTGGTGGGCCTGTAAAGCTACATTGCTTGGCTGAACCCTCCACAGTTCGCATTTCTTGGTTGTTTAATGGAGAGAAATTGGACAGCAGGGTGGAGCAAGTAGAAGTGCATCCAGGATCTTTGACAATCTTTTCTCTCAGCCCTTCAAATTCTGGGCGCTACCAGTGCATTGCCAATAACAGTGTTGGTGCTATTGTGAGCAGGCCTGCAAGAGTATCCATAGCCCGTAAGTTAATGTCTTTTATTCCTCACTCCATGACAAACCTGAGTACCCATCAAGTGACTTCAGTAACTACTGGGCATTATTTCAGCATCCATTCAGGGAAGGTGGAGAAAAATACTAACTCTGCTCCAAAGAGCTTGCAGTATAAATTTTAGATCATATGCAACAAATGAGAGTGGCAAGGAAAGATGGGCTACAAAAATAAAATTCTTTGCTCCTTTTGAGTGTGAGCACATTTTGAGGGTTCACTTATTGTTTATCTGCCTAATAAGGATGATGGTGAATATTAATGACTTGTTTATTTTGGAGATCTCCGAGTTTTCATGCAACATGGTGGTGATAATGGTCAATATTGAAGTGCCATAGTTTGAGGGACCAGATTGAGAAGAAAATGCTAGTCTTAAAAACAGCTTGGACAGACTTACAGGAGAAATGAATTATTGGATTGGTGGTGGTATTGGTGTCTGTTGTTGTAGTGCACAGAAGTCTCGTTCAAAATTGGGCCCCTGCTGTGCTGGCCACTATACAGAGAGTCTACCTGCCCAAAAATCTGACAAGCTTAGACACAACCAGGCTAGGGTTTGCGAGGAATACACTGAAGCAACAAAAGATTTTAGTGAAGAATTGACAGTGCCTAGTTAGAAGTGTTTAGTAATTTGCAGGTTGTTATTTGGTGGAAAAATAAGGTAGGAAGATAAAAATTGGGATAAGAGAACAGTTGCAATTTGTCACTAATCCAGCTATGATCAGCAGGCTGGATTATATAGGCATCTTGGCAAAGACAGGTAGTCTTTATGAGGGAGTTGAAGGAAAATAAGTTAAGAGTTCAGATTTTAATGGAGGTAAAATCCCCCCATTCCCCTTGCATGAGGAACAGCTTGTGAAAAAGCATGGAGGTATTTCTAGGGGAATATCCTGGGGTTGGCAAAAGCAGTAGAACAGAAGGGTAGGGTAAACACTGTTGTTGTTCGTCATTCAAATTCAAAAATGACCATGACATCACTTTTTGGTTTGGTTTCTGTGAACACGTGAATGGCTGATCAGGCTAATTTGTGTTTTGAACTGTCTGTGGCACACTGAGCAAGAGATGCTGCTTTGGGTTGCTTGAACAACAGCAGACATGCTGCTGTTGCAAGATTTATGTTGTTTGCACTTCTGCTCTGCCTCAGCAGTTCTCTGCTCATAGATGGTAGCTCCCATATGGATGAGGTTTTGCCAGGTGGAATAACTATGAGCGAGATCTTCCTAGGGCTTTGGGGCAATGCTGAAACGTTTCAGGGGTGACTTGAGGGAGTCCTTGAAGTGTTTCTCCTGACCTCCCTGAGAGCGCTTTCCTTCCTTAACATAAAAGATCTCAACATAAAAGATCTTCTTTGGCAGTCACTGATCTGATATTCTGGTGGCATGGCCTGCCCATCTCAACTGTGATTTCATCAACAGTGTGGATGTCTGCCCAATTAAGAACCTCGGTGTCTGGGATCTTGTCTTGCTATTTTATCTTCATCACTTTCCTTGGACAGCCCATGTGAAAGTGGTTCAGCTTCATAGCTTGGTACCTGCACACCGTCCAGGTTTCACATGCATACATCAGGTTTGGCAACACAGTGACTTTGTAGACCTTCAGTTTTGTTTGTTGATTGATGCCTCTGCACTCACACATTTGCACATAGTCTGCCAAAGTCTACACTTGCTCTAGCAGTTCTGGAATTGGTTTCATCATCAATGTGAACTGCACAGGACAGTGTACTGCCAAGATAGGTGAATTTGTCCACTGCCTGGAAGGTTTGGCCATTCACTATCATGGTAGGCTCTGTGTAAGGCTTTCCTGGTGCAGGCTGGTGCATCACTTCTGTCGTCTTAGTGTTGATTGCTAGACTACAGTTGTCACAAGCTGAAGAGAAATGGTCCATACTCCGTTGTGTATCAGATTCAGATTTGGTATTCAGGGAAAAGTCATCAGCAGACAAGATCACGAACAGTCACTTCCTGTAACTTTGTCTTCACCTGTAGTCTTCTCAAATTGAAGAGTTTGCCATCAGTCCGGTAGCTGATGTCAATCCCAGTGTCACAGTCATGAAAGGCATCTGTAAGCATGGCAGAAAACATCATACTGAAGAGAGTTGGGGCCAACACACAGCCCTGCTTGACTCCATTGGTGACTGGAAATTGTTCGGATGACTCTGTCATCTACAACACGAGCAAGCATGCCATCATGGAATTGCCAAACCATTGTGATGAATTTCTCTGGGCAACTGAATTTTGCCATGTTCTTCCAAAGGCCCTCCCAACTGACTGTATCAGATGCTTTTATCAAGTCAGTGAAAGTCACGTATAGGTTGGAGTTCTGTTCCTGGCATTTCTCCTGAAGTTGATGAGCTGCAAGCAACATCTCTATGGTCCCACATCCTTTCCTGAAACCACACCAACTCTCGGGTAAAAGCGCTTGTTCAATATGTTGTTTAAGGCGATTCAGCAGAATTCTGGAAAGGATTTTACTGGCTATTGACAGCAAGGAGATGGCCGGATGGTTGTCACAAGATTGTCTGTTGCCTTTCTGCTTGTACAAGTGCAGATGCACCCTTCTATTCCTGAGCTGTAGTACCTTGAGTCCACATTGACTGGAAGAGTTCAGTCCGTTTCAAAGCCATGTGTGTGCCTCCGGCTTTGTAGGCCTCTGCTGGTATAGCATCTGTTCTGAGTGCTTTAGCATTTGACAGCAGATTAATTGCTTTCACAGTCTCAGTCAGCATTGGAGGATCAGCAAGAGATACGTTAATGTCTACCTGAGACAGTGATAGATTGCCTCCTCACTAATAGATAACTGTTGATTGAGGATGGTGTTGAAGTGTTCTGCCCATCTCTGCAGTATCTTTCCTTTATCAGTGAGCAATGTGGTGCCAACAGCCCTCAGTATTGGAGATATTCCTGATGACCATTGCCTGTAGATCACCCTCAGAGCATTATAGAAGTTCTTCATATTGCTCCTGTCTGCGTAGGACTGAATCTTATCTGCCTTGTTGCTGAGCCATGAGTTTTGCATCTCTGAATTTGCATTGGACAATCCTCTTGATGTTATTGAAGGTTACCTTCTTAGATGTTGAAGTGCTGTCTTCTAAGCAGGCCTTATGAAGCTGATATTTCTCATTCAGTAGTCTCCCTCTGTCCGTATTGTTTTCATCAAACCAATCTTGATATTTACATGTGGTGAGACCAAGAGTATTGAATGCAGCTGAGTAGACAGTCTCTGAAGGATGCCCAATTTTCCTCAGTATTTTTATTTGCATTTACATCAATTGTAACTAGTTGGCTGCATAGTTCTTCAACAAATGCCTGTTTCATATTCTCCTGTTGCAATTTGAAGACATTGAACTTTTTGGGTGCTTTTTTGCCTTATGGTTGTCTACTAGGATGTACACAAATGGTCAGCTTGGAGACTGAGCCTGTGGTCAGTCCAGCATTTTGCACTTCTCTCTTTTGTCACTCTGACAAGCTGTCCGTCTCTTCTCCTGATGATGATGTAATCAACAAAATGCCAATGCTTGGAGTGTGGGTACATCCAAGACATCTTGTTATGGTTTGGCAGGCAGAAGACTGTGTTGGTGTTGAGTAGGTCATGTTCAGTGCATTTCCTCAGCAGGAGAAGCCCATCGTTGTTGCATTTCCCTTGGCCATTTTTTCTGATGACGCCTGGCCACTGATCTGTGCCAAATCTAGCATTAAAATCACCAAGAATGATGAGCTTATCTGCCTGTGGCATGTCCATGACTCCAGATCTTTGTAAAACTTGTCCTTAATTACATCTGGGTTGGTCATAGTGGGTGCATAGTGACTGATATTAGTTGCACATCTTTTCCCAGACAGTGAAAGTCTCATTAACATGAGTGTGTCATTCACTCCCTTTGGGAGATTTCTGAGCTGGCTCACTAGCTGTGTTTTCATAGCAAACCCAACACCCAGCTTCACATCACTCTTCTTTACTACAGGCACTCCAGAAAAAGGTGTGTAGCCAGCTCCTTTTTCAGTTGGTTGTCCTTCTTTAGCTAGGCTAGTTTCACTCGGGGCCTGTTGAACCTGGCCAGTTCTCTCCCACCTAGAGCTGCTCTTCTCTCTGGTCTATCTGCTGTTGTACAGTCCATTAGCATGCGCACATTCCAAGCGCTAATGGTGAGTGGTGTCACCTTTGTCTTTTTTGTCTCTGTGTGGTCTTTGAATGCTGTAGTGGGATCCCATCAGCTGTGATATGCTGACCAGGGTTGAGGTGAAGCAGACAATGTTTAGGACACCTTTTCTAGCCTCTTCCTCGTACTATGGATGTGAGCAGTGTGATCCTAAATAAGGCCTCTCAGTCACCCAGGGGGCTGCCAAATTCCACTGCTCCTTTAGTCCAGTGAAAAGTGACCTAACTATGATAGATAATAAGTAACAAGGGTTAAATAAGGCCAAATTATGAAGGCCTCAAAGGCAGGCAGGCAGGAAGTCTTGGTTCTTTTGCTACAGAGGTGAAGAATATCCAAATGAGATTCATGTGGTCTGAGTGGTGAGCCATGGACATGGGTTTTAGTAGCAGTATTCTGAGTAGATTGATGTTAAAGCTGACATCACTGGCACAACTAATGTGTTTTGGGAACTATAGTAAGTTGGTTACATATTTATTATCCCTCACATTACTAACCCTAACCCCTCCCGCCTCCCCCACCCTGTTGGTTGTTGTCAGGGCTGGGTGAAGGCTCCAGCAGCGGGAGCATGGGGGCACTGCCACTGGAAACTCCCCCGCCCCTTTGTCTTCTCTTCGCTGCTGGCTGTTGTTGTGGGGGTGGCTCCCTCGCCCCCTGTGCCCATAACACTCCGGGCCCTCGCAGCCAATCAGTGCGCACCCTCTCAGCAGTGCATGTGCCGTTGGCCTGGAGCATTACGGACAGACGAAGGGTTTTATTATCTTAGAACGTTCTCATGTCTGCAATCACTGTTTTATAATTTTTTACTTTGAAATATTCTTTGGAGAAAGCACTAATAAAACCAATATTTGCAGTGTCTTTAGTATTGTGACTACTTTACAATAAAATCTGGCTTTTGTACAGAAACTGATCAGGTCATTTATATATTCAGATAGAGTTCTCAAATGTGATTTATTTCAGGGTTTTGGGGTTTTTTTTAATCTATTTAGTGCAGTAAACAGACTTTTCATACACATTTGCTTGGACATGTGAACTGGTTGGAAAGTTAGGGCAGGAGAGGAGAAAGGAAATTCATTTTAAAAAAGTGCAAAATGTCATCTATGTTCTTTTCAATCTGGTCAAAATTACCTGACTAGGTGTTGATTTTTTTTTTTCTTAGTTGCATTTTTTTGTTTTCCTTTTTCTGAGTCTTCTAAATATTTTGTTGTTGTTGTTCTTTTGGTTCTTGAGCCATAAATTGCCTAATTAAAAAAGAAAAAAACCCAATAAAACTAGGCTTGAAGAAAGAGGATATGGGTCCAGTTGTCCGTTATGAAAGGCATAGGGAGTACTGAATGTTTTTTCCTCTATAGGTATGCTTTGACTGTACTGGATTAGAGTAATATCTGAAATGGGCCTTTGTCAGCCAAGATTTGAGTAACTCCTTTATAAAGATGCCTTTTCTATGGAGCATGTCCAGAATTCCCATGAGAGGAAAATTTCTCATAACTGAGAAATGCAAGTGTTTTGGTAAAGTGCTGATCCATTGCAAGACCCTCTCAAGAGAGCTATAAGGGTAGTCAGCTTAGCAAAGTTTACGTGCTGTAATAAGCTTTGTTGCAAGAGATAATTAAAAACAAAAAGGCGGTTTGTATACTGTACTATACTGCTGCTGTTCCTTGTATGTGTATGTTTTTCCAGGATTTAACAAAATGAGGAGGAGTAGCTGTGACTTACAGGCTGAAGTTTGACTCCTGTTGTTACAGGCAGCAAACTGCAATTGATGCATTCTTTACTACTGTGCTCATTGTCAAGCTATTTTTGTAATTGAAAACAACTCCTTTCTATTTCAAGAATTAGCATTACAAAACTGCTTGTTGTTTGTGTATCATAAATTGTCTTCTGCATTACATTAATAGCTTGCTGTTGACATCCCAATTCCTTGCTTTGTTGGCATCTATTAACTTGTATGTCTTATGAAGCACAGAGAGGTAGCCCTGTTGGTGTGAAGTTAGGTAGAAGGTATGATAGAGAAGTACTTTATAGATTAACTGAATTACAGAGAGAAGCTCATCTGCATATAATTTTTTGGAGGATTCCAGCACTCCTGAAAGTCCCAAGACCCAGTTCCAGTCATGAGTAGGGGCCTAGTTAGCATATGGACTCTTTGTGGGGTTATCTGGAGTATACAAACATACTGAGGAGTGCTGAGCTTTGGGGCTTACCATGGCTTAAAATGCTGTTGACTGGTGGGGCCCAGCCCAATGACCTATATGTTAAATCCAATCCAAATCTAATAATGCATAGTACTGTATATAAGTAGGTACAAAAATGCTGCTTAAAATGTGTTTATGGAGTACCTGTTCTTAAAACTTGCAGCATTTTCAAAAAAGGTAAAATGCATCCATTCTGGATAACTAAGTCTGTGGTCACCTGCAGTAACTTGTTTTCAAATGTGTCTGTCATTTCTATGTGATCAGGGAGAGCATGGTCTGATATTAAAGAGATGGGGAAGGGGTTGCAGAGGGCAAGGGGGAAGGGGACAGATTCATGGAAAACTTCCAATAGTTAGATTCAGCTGAGTAGTTGGAAAAAAGTTCACATCACATCTACTCAGTGAACCTTGCCTCCCTATGTCCTTAGACCAACACAGCTACAACCAAAAACCCAGCAATAATTAGATTCTATACCTGGAAAACTATCACATTTGAATTTCATCTCATGTCTGCCAAAATTGTCAACCCCTCTTTACTTTTCTAAACAACTCTAGGTCTTGATGATTTTGATACTTCAGTGAAAAATATAGTCACAGGAGAAGAAGGAAGTTCTGTTTTCATTGGATGCAAGGTACCAGAAAGTAACCCTAAAGCACAGGTTCGCTTTCGAGTACGGGGAAAATGGCTGGAACAATCAACCGGTGAGAGAGTTTATAATGCTAGTAAGCAGTATAAATGTCCCAAATATTTGTTGGAGCCATAACTATGAGATACTTTTACTGCAAAGCTCATCATACAATTAATTTTGGATACCTCTAGCTTAGTAAATTAATTTTTATATGTAGTTCTTTTATAGTAATGAGTTTTTATATGTTCCTTAATGATAAATTTAAGAGAAATGAGCTATCTCAATTTGCATAATATATTTTGAAAATGTGTCCTTGGAAATATTTTAAATGTAACCCTCTTCCCTTCCTCAGATAACTACCTAATTCTTCCATCTGGAAACCTGCAGATTTTGAATGTAACTCTAGAAGACAAAGGGTCCTATAAGTGTGCTGCATATAACCCAGTCACTCATGAGCTCAAAGTAGAGCCCATTGGACATAAGCTTATAGTCAGCCGTAAGTGTTTAATGTATGTAGAGGATGATTTACAGAATAAATTATTTCATCTCAGATTAATATTTTTCGTAAGCTTGGCTGGATCTTAAAGCCTCACTGTTCTGAAAGTCTAACTCTGGTCCTCTACAATCTGTAGTCAGTGTTGCAGAACACTCTTTTTTATTTTTTATTATTTGTTTTTTTTAATTTTTGAAAAATAGTCTCTTCACAAGATCCCTAGCATACCAGCATGATTACCTAGTATTTTTACAAATATCTAGCTCTGCCAAGTTTATCTTGTGCTTACGTTTAATTTGTTACCAGGACAGTATGCATTATATCTGTTGCAAAGAATGGAAGTACAGGTTGTTGATTTCCTGCTTTCTTCCTACATACCAGTTAGTCTCTAAGACAGTAATTCTCAACTGTGGTGCCGTAAGACACCCTCAGAAGTGCTGCAGTGCAGGTGCTGCTTCCACTGTGGCAACCAGGTAAAAGTGCCCCTTGTGCTTGGTTAGGGCCAGACCAGGTAGGGCTTTGGCACAAGCTGGTTCTTCTGCCTGCTGTCAACTTATTGGAGGGCCTACCTAAACTGCAGTGAGATGAAGGGATTTTTGCTGGCTGTTCACAGTGTACAGAGCCAGTTTTGCAGTCTTTTTGCAGCAAGGCCCCCTCTTCTCCCTCTCCCCACCGCTGATTGCCTGAGGGGTCCGGAAGTTGAAGTTCAACACTCAGAAGTACAAGGTGCTCCATCTGGGGACAAACAATCCCCAACATACCTACAGGCTTGGTGGCTACACTTTGACTTGCACCATGGCTGAAAGGGACCTGGGGTAGTGATCGACCATCGCATGACCATAAGCCGGCAGTGTGATGCTGTGGTCAGCAGGGCAGACAACACGATGGCATGCACTAACCATTGCATCTCATGCAAAACTAAGAAAGTGGTGAGACCACAGCTGGAGTACTGCATCCAGTTCTGGGTGCTGCACTTGAACAAGGATGTGGAAACCCTTGAGAGGGTCCAGAGAAGAGCCACAAGTATGATCAGGGAGTTGTAAGACAAGCCATACAAGGAGAAGCTGAGGGACTTGGGCCTCTTCAGCTTACAGAAGAGAAGGTTGAAAGGGGACTTGGTAGCAGCTTACTGTTACATTAGGGGAATACATCAAGAACTCGGTGAACAGCGTTCACCGGGGCACCCCTGGGGCAGTGGCTATGAACTCCTGGAAGCTACTTCAGGCTCAGTTCCAGGAAAAACTCCTTCACAGTCAGGGTGTCCACACTGGAATAAGCTCCCTCCAGAGGTGGTGCAGTCACCTACCCTGGAATTCTTCAAAAGGAGACTGGACAGTCACCTTGCTGGGGTCACTTGACCCCAGTTGTCTTTTCCTGCCCAGTGCAGGGGGGCTGGTCCCGATGATCTACAAGGGCCTTTCCAGCCCTTAACGTTCCATGAATCTATATGGCCCAGCTCCTTGCTGCTGATTGGCCAAGAGGCCAATCACGCATGTTCGGACTGCAGCATTGCATCTGGCTTAAAAGATGGCACTGAAACTTTTTCGCTTTCCTGACTTGCATCTTCACTGAGTCTGTCACTTGCTCAGCCTCTCTCAAACCACATGGGATTGCTGCGCTTGCTTTGTATTTTAGTAAGCTTTTATTTTGGGGTGGCAATTCCATGCAAAATTGCAGGAAACGCCTTTTTTGTGGTGAGCATGGGAAACACCATTTTTTGCAGTGAGTGTAGGAAACACGAAACCATGATTTAAGTAGGTCCCTAGTAACGAGGCAAGAGAATGTGAGCATGCTGCAGACCTCCCCAGTGTGATTGTGCATGAAACACCAAGGGCACTTTTACCCTGCTGCAGCAGCAGCAGTACCTGGTTGTGAACCACCCAGGTAAGCTGAGGCAGCTTATCAGTGGTTCTCAAATGGGGAGCAGGCAAATTCAAAAACAGGTTGTGGAAGCTGCCTTGACTCTAAGAAGGCTGAGAACCACTGCTCTAAAGTGCTGCCCTGTCCTGTTGTGTACTCCGTGGTGAAATTTTTATTTTCTTCTATTTTGAAGAGGAGTAATTACTGCTGCTTACAGTTTGTTCTCTGTGTTAACAGCAGTGATTGGAATATTGACAGACGATAAACCCCTGTAAAAATAAAGAATACTTTAAAGTAGTGGTTATGGTGAGTGGTTATGGGGAATGCCCTGGTACCAGCAGCTACCATCCCATCTGATTTTGGAGCCATACCAATCAAAAAGAACTGTAGTCAGCTATATAATAAGTCCTTGTTTCATGCATGTGTTAAATTTTGTTAACATGCAGAATCTCAAGGCTTAAAGGGACATGCAGAAATTACTAAGGAAAAATAATGATGCAGTTAGCCAATTGAAACTGTTATGGGGGTTTGACTCCTGCATTTCTGCTTATCTTATTCCAGGTTCTTCCTCCGGGGGTATACATATCCTTCACCCCACTGTTTCTCAAGCTTTTGCTGTACCTCAGCACAGTCCCCTAACTCTAGAATGTGTTGTTAGTGGGTTGCCTGCATCTCATGTCCACTGGTTGAAGGATGGCCAGGATGTATTGCCTGGAGGCAGGTGGAGACTTCTGCACTCTCATCTTGTGATAGACAGACTCGATACATCAGATTCTGGAAACTACTCCTGTGTAGTGGCAAATGAGTCTGAAGTGGTGAAGCATGTAAACTATTCACTTAATGTACTTGGTAAGAAAGAGGAGAGAATGCAATTATTTTAAGTTCTTTGCATGTTTTGTTTGATTATATAGCGGATATTTCAGGCACCTTATTATAAGTTCATAGGATCATATAAAAGTAAGTTAGAGGAGATCTCAAGATGTCATTTAGTCTAATCTGAACCCCCTACTCAAGGAAGATGCATTCCAGACAGATATTTATGTAACCTACACTTCCTTCATGCTCTTTCCATCCAGACAAGAGAAGATGCATTTTAAACTAACCAAAATGTGTATTTAATGAGCATATTTTATGAACCCTCCCAGATTATAATCCTTTTAACTGTTTAGAGCAGGGGTGTCCAACCTTTTTGAATGTGGGGCCAGATTATAAACTTTTTATCACCCAGTGGGCCGGCGAGTCATATTCAAACACCCTCTGTCCTGGGCCAGAGAGATCCTGCCTGTGTAGCCCTACTGCACCTGCCTGTTACTGCAAGGTTCGTGGTAGCTGCTGGTAGGCAGGGGCAGGAAGGACCCATTCTGCATCCAGCCAGCTACTGCCCCAGAGACTGAAGGGGAGAAATAAATAGCTCCACATCTCCATCCCCTCAGTAGCGCAGCCCCACGAACCGGCGCTGCTTGAGGGGGCTGGAGCGAGGCGGCCGCTGCACCACAGCCCCACTCACTGTGGTGCCCGGCTGCCCGTGCATGCAGCCCCAGTGGCCTCAGTGCTGCGAGACCAGAGCGCAGGGTCCGGCAGACGCTGGCTCCCACCACTTCCCCCACAGAGGTCACACCAGGACCCCGCCTGCCGAGGCCCCCCCGTGCTGGCTTCCCGTGTGCTGCTGGTGACGGGAGGAGTCTGGCCAGGTCAGCACCAGCCAGCAGAAGTGGTGGCGAGACCATGTGCTGCTCGGGACCGACCGGTGCAGGCAGGGGGAAAATGCAGCTGAGCCCCTGCCGCTCTGGCCGGGCTCGTCCTGAGCAGCACACGGCTCCGCTGCCACTTCTGCTGGCCGGTGCAGACCTGGCCGGGCTTCTCCCGTCCCCAGCAGCTTGTGGGAAGCCGGCTTCAGCTGCATGCTGCTTTGGATGGGACGGACGCAGCCGAGTCAGCACCGGCCAGGAAAAGCAGCATGCAACTGAAGTCAGCTCCTCACATGCTGCTGGGGACGGGAGGATCCCGGCCGGGTCTGCACCGGCCAGCAGAAGTGGTGGCGGAGCTGTGTGCCGCTCGGGACGGGACGAGCCAGGCTGAAGCGGCAGGGGCTCAGCTGCATTTTTCCCCTACCTGCATCGGTCAGTCCTGAGCGGGACATGGCTCCACTGCCGCTTCTGCTGGCTGGTGCCGACCTGGTCAGCCTCCTTCTGTCCCCAGCAGCACGTGGGAAGCTGACTTCAGCTGCGTGCTGCTCTGGATGGGACAGACCCACCCGGGTCAGCACCAGCCAGCAGAGGCGGCAGCGGAGCCGTGTGCCTCTCGGGACTGACTGTCGCAGGTAGGGGGAAGTGCAGCTGAGCCCTGCTGCTCTGGCCAAAGCGGCGCATAGCTACTCTTCACACACGCACTGCGTCGGCAACGTCAAGCTGACATGGTGCGTGTGGGAACCTTGTCCCTTCCCCAGCCCTTCAGCAGTCATTAGGAAGCGGCTGAGGGCCTGGGGGAGGGACAAAGGGCGGGAATGAAAGTATACAGTGTTTACTTTAGTTTCCCGTCTCAGCATTGCGGGCCTCAGAAAATGCCTCGGCGGGCCGCATGGCAGCCTGCAGGCCGTATGTTGGACAAGCCTGCTTTAAAGTCTCTTCAGGTCTAGTACCACCTTTAGTGTTAATCTCTTTCATTGTACAAATGCCTCAAAATAAAAGCTGGTCATTGGGGGTTTTTTTGG